CTATGTGTCTTAAGCCATCCCAACTTGCAGTTAAAACAACCAGTCCTTTGTAAGACTGACAACTTATTTATGTTTATATATAATGCAAATCTAGATAAAGTAATGACTCAATATAGAAAATCAGCTATCAGGCTATGCTCTTCCCAAATAAGATCGTACTGCATATCTTCAATATTTATTCGTTCCCTCAAATCCATGAAAAAATACTAAGGTGAAGCTGGCAAGGAAAAGTCCCACAGGTTTTGACTTTTCAAATATATCATGGGCACACAATTTGAGAAGGATCATTTCTTAGTTCTCAGGAAAATCACTCTTGATTCTTTACACTCAGCAGTGATAACTCACAAAAAGAAATTCTGGTTGATAGAAAAGAGGAAGAAAGCCAGGGTAGATATGGATGTGTTTACATGTGCTTGAGTAAGTAAGGAACTGCACTGAAACCATTTTGAAACTGCAGCAGGAAGCAAGGATGAATGTAGCAACACAACCAGATAAAACTGGAGGAGTGCTCACCCTGTGGCTGATGCATAACAAGTGAGTAAATTATTTGTGTAGGATTATGCAAGCAACAAGGAAACGTTCGGATGGACAGAAGCCATGTTCCCCAAGAAAGGTGGATATCAAAGACCCACAGAGGACAATTTCGTAGAAGAAAACCTTCCTCTGCAACAAAACATCTACCTGATCAACTATCACAGTGTCTTCTTATGATTCCTGTCTCCAAGGATGTTGTCTTATCCCTACTGGCCCCACTACCACCATCTTCTCCTCTGACATACACTGTCAATGCAGAGTCTGCCTGCCCAGCACCTGCCCCCCACCCTGCTGCATGCCTGACTCTCATGTGCCATCCTGCTGGCTGCTCAACAGCTGCCACCCTACTCCCAACCTGAGAGGGATTTCTGCCACCACCTGTGTCCAGCCTCGCGAGTGGGAACCACCTTGCTGCTAACCAAAGATGTTTCAAAGGGCTTGTCCACATTACCCTAGGGACCTCATTAGTCATTAAGGGCTTCTTAGCCTATGGCCTTTAATTAGGCCCTCTGGAAGAAAG